ATACTCTCAGGGATAAGGCAGGTGACAAACATATGGAGAGGGCCAGCTGTGACACAAACAGTAGTGGGGACTGCGGGGGTTCCACGCCGGGCTTCAGGGGGCAGCCAGGACTCAGGCCCCGCCAACTGCTGCAACGTAGAAAGGCGGGAACAGCGTGGCTAGGCCTGTCAAACGTTTTTAAAGAGCCAGAAATTTGAATTTTTACATCCTATCTCCCCTATTTTTGGATACCGTATTAACTAAGACATTGTTACTGTAGAGTTGGCCCCAAATCACGCAGCTTGGGACCTGGACACAGATGACATTTCCAAGCCGGGGTATGCCTGTCATCATCCATCCTTTTGTTCCCAATTTGTCTGTGGTCTGCTGGTGAGCCGGTCAGGTCCCCTCAAAGCCACGCCCTGGCTAACAGCCCAAGACCAAAAAGACAGAGCAGCCCCTTGTCCCTGGACACCACCCTCATCTCAGCCCATGAAATGGGGGTGAGGCGAAGGGAAACCAGGACAGTGAGGGGGGCCCGGCCTACAGGACCACCTCACGCAGGTGTCCCTCTGATCCAGAGGGCAGTCGGAACTTAGTGGTGGGGACTTAAGCCCCTATCATGGTCATCAAATGGACCTAAGCAGACTACGTGAGGAAATGCGCTTGCTATGCCAATGCAGTTCCAAAACAACGCCACTTGCGGTGAGATGCCACGTCACAGCCATTGGGATGGCTGTAAACAAAAAGACCTAAAGATCAGTGTGGCAAGGAGGCAGAGAACTTGGAACCCGTCCACCCTGCTGACGGGAATGTTAAATGGTGCACCCCTTTGGGAAACAGCGTCTGGCATTTCCTCGCAAAGTTAGGCACAGCATTATCACGTGACCCAACAACTTCACTCCTGGATATATAGACCCCCAAGAGAAATGAAAACATAAATCAAAAAACGCTTGTTCAGGAGTGTTGACAGCAGCATTGTTCATGATAGCCAGAAGGTGGAGACAACCCAAATATCTATCAATGGATGAATGGATCAACCAAATGTGGTCTAGCCATACAATGGAAATTATTTAGTAATTGATAGGAATGAAGAACTAATACATGATACAACATAATGAACTTCAAAAATATTGGGGTAATTGGGGGGAAAAATAAAAAAGACCACATAGCAGATTATCCCATCTATACGAAATGTCCCGAACAGACAAATCTGTAGAGACAGAAAGTAGATGAGCGGTTGCCGAGGGCTGGGGTGTGACGCATAGTTCGGGGGTTGATAGCTCAAGGGCATGGTGATCTTGTGGGGGTGATAATTATGTTCTAAAATGGACTGTGGTGATGGTTACACAACCCTGTAAATGCACTAAAATCCATTCAATTGTACACTTTACATGGGTAAATTGTATATGTGAATTATATCACAGTAACATTATTACCACAAAAAAAGAACTCCCAACTAAGATTGCTACCCTTGACGGCCTTCAGTTAAAACATTTCTGCATCCATATTGCTCTCTTCACATCAGCCCCACTGGAGTACACAGGACAAGCACTCTGAAAGGATGATTTTCCTCAGAGGATCAGAGCTCAAACAAAGGTGACCAGCTGGCCTGCTTTGCCCAGGGCCGTCCCAGTATTATCACAAAAAGTCCTGTGTCCCAAGAAATCCCTTATTCCTAGGGAAACTGAGCTGGCTGGTCGCCCTGGTGCGAACTCTTTCCCGCAGCACGGGCAAGCGCTGCCCTTCGGTGCTGCCAGTGGCTAGAACAGTCGCCAGGTCCTTCTCCCTTTGAGATATAAGTCATCCTGAAGGTCCTCCTAATAGTCAAAAGATATTTTAATTATTGATGTTCCCATTTTACAGACGAGGAAACTGAGGTTCAGAGAGATGAAGTAACTCGCCACAAGTACACAGGAACAAGGAATTGAACCTGGGTCTTTTCCCAAGGCCCAAGCTACTCCTTCTTCTCATCGTACTGTCTCTCACCATACCACTGGGTCAATTTTCCGGGAGCACCCCTACACTGCTTTTGCCCCTGGGAAGGCAGTATGACATCCAGACAGAAGCATGAGTTTTTAACTATAAGAAGTTGAGGAGACGGGTACAGTTTGGTGGTTAACAGCTCAGACTCTGGAGTCAGACTGCTCAAGTTTGAATAGGGGCTCTGCCACTCTTATGCTGTGTGATTTGGACAAGTTACTAAACTTCTCTGTAACTCAGTTTCCCCCTATGTAAAATTGGAAAAATAATAGTATTCCGTGTGCGTGCGTGTGTGTGTGTGTGTGTGAGACATAGGATTCTTGCGGGAAGTAAATCAGTAAGTGTGTAAGAGGCTTAGAGGGAGGCTGGAAAATAGTAAGTTTATTAAATAAATAAAAGAAAGCACAGTTTGATAGACCCCGAATTGGAAAGAAATCAGATTAGTCTTAAGAAAAACCAGGCAGCAGGACCAAATCCAGGAAATGAACTCTAGCATGCTGTTTTGTTTCTTCCCATGAAAATGTTTATGGTTTAGGAATAGCTGGAAGCTTCCCAGACCATAGGCAAACTTGTAAAAGCAACGTGGGAGCAGCAGTCTGGGCAGCCTACCCAACTGGGATGACGCGGTGCAGGCTTGAGGCCCTGTCTGGCAGACGGGAGCCCAGGGGACCCCTTCATCTCTGACCTGCCCATGAGGGCAAGGAGAGCTGGGATCCTCCCACTGAGGTGGCACCTACTACTCAGCTCTCTGCTCTCTGAGTGGGCGTGAGCAACATCATTTTATAGATTTGGAAACAGGCTCCGAGAAGTTCAAGAACTGGTTCAAAGTACAGTTAATAACATGTCAAGTTGGGATTCAAACTGAGATTGAATTCTAAAGTCCCTCTGCTTTATTGCTTCCACATGCGTTATGATTGTCGTGTAACAAAGTACCTCAACACTTAGCAGCTTTAAACAACAAATATTGATAATCATATAGTCTTTGAAGGCCAGATATCCAGGGGTGGCTTAGCTGGGTGTTTCTAGCTCAGAACTCCTCATGAGGTTATAGTCAGGATGCTGCTCAAGGGTACTGTTATCTCAAAGCTCTACCAGGGCTGGAGAACCAGCTTCTTACTCAGTAATGAGGCCGTTGGCCGGCTGGCTATTGGCCGGAGTCTTCAGTTTTTTGTCCCATGGACCCCTCCAGGGGACTGCTCACAGCATGGCAGCGTGCTTTCCCTAGAGCAAGAGTTTCAAGAAAAAGAGAGCAGCCAAGTGAAAGAGCATCAGGGAGGTGCTCCCTTTTATAGTTTATCTCAGTAGCAACACACAACCACTCCTGCCGTTGGATGTCAGTCACACAGACCAATGCCGGCACAATGTGAGAAGAGGCTATAAAGGCCTGTGAATACCAGCAGGCAAGGACCCTTGGGGGACGTCTTGAACACTGGTGACCACACTGCTCACTTTTCAAAAGTCAGACAAGAAGGCACATCCTACTTGTAAAAGCAATACCCCTCACAAAAGTCACAGTAAGTAATCTTAGTCTAACCACTTTTTGGGTGTTTATTGAACACACATTCAATTCATTCAAGGCACGAGGCTGGCCCCTCTGGATACAGGCAGGAGTTAAACCTAGAGCTTACAGTGGCTCATGGGAGGAAAATAAGAATCAAGCCACGTGGATCCTTGGAAAAGAAAAGAGAGCGGCCAAGGAAAAGAGGTGAACTGAGGACTCCATGTCAATGTGGTTCTAAAATCTTCTAGTCCAGGTATGGGTTCATCCTGAGATAACCTGGGTTTATTTCCTTGGGCCTGGACAACACCCCCACAGAAAACAGGAGAGAGAGAAGGAAGAGGGAGAGAAGTAGGAGGCATTGGAATAAACGTCCTTTACTAGTTTACCAACTTCTGGAATATCACAATTAGGCATTCTTTCTGTAGCATGAAATCATCATGCTAAAATTTTGAGCCAAATTTTGCTAAAGAAATGGGGGTAGAAAAAACAGTGAGTCAACCAGATACTAAAGGTGGATAAGGGAAATGCCAGAGGCTGTGTGTTTGAGGTACAAAAGGAGACAGGTGTTTCCTTAAAAAAATCAGAGTCCTGTACTGCCCACTAAAAACCACTTGCCACGTTATAGCCATCTTGTTAAAATCATTTCCATGAATCCCCCCATAAGTGTGATAGGAACCTAGTAGGTAATATCTATTTTTATTTTTTATTTTTCGATTATCGTTTACATTCAAAATTATTCTGTATTAGTTTCAGATATATAACAAAGTGGTTAAAAAGTCTTGCACTTTACAGATGGTCCACAGATGTTTCAAGTACCCACCTGGCTCCGTACATAGTTATCTCCGTATTATTGACTATATTTTCTATAGGTTGCTGACTATTCTGTAACTACCACTTTGCACTGCTTAATCCCTTCACTTTTTTCACTCGATTCCCTCCCGGGTACCCTCTCCTAGTCGCTTCTTCATCTGCTCTTCAGAACAGATCTCCCCCAGGACTACAGAAAAGTCACTAAAACCCCCAAGTGATTCAGTTTCCCCGTCTGGATAAGGCAAATAGTACCGGTTCCTACCTACCCCCCACATAAAGAAACTACACGCGAAAGCAATTTTACATTCTCCGAAAAGGGGCGGAGGGGTAAATTTCAAGAATTCCGATGTGCACAGCCACATTTTAATTCCAAGCAGCCCAGTGGCTACGTTTCCACGGCGTCTGCCAACGCAGGCGCATTCCTCAAACCGGCCAGCCCATGCAGTGCTTGGGTCAGGGGAACATCAGGGGTTTCCCTGGTCCGGTAAGTAAACAAGCTAAGTCATTTCCTCTTCTGAGAACCATCCCGTGCCCGCGTCCTCCGATCCCACCGCTCTCTAGTCAGTCCTCTGACTGAACCACCCAGCCGTGTACCCTACTTGGCTCCTCCCCATTTCACAGGGCTCCAAGCCAGGCAGTTTCCGCCACCCTAAAGGACTACAGCACCCTGGCTTGGCCCACGCAGCCGCACGGACCACGTGACCGCACGTGATCGCACGTCTCGCAGCGAAGCAGTCACATGACCCGGGGAAAATGGCTGCGTTGACTGCGGAAAACTTTGCAGCCCTCCAGAGCCTGCTGAAGGTAAATAGGAGGGTGGGGACAGCGTGAGGAGGCCCTTTGTCCCTGGGATTTTAGATGTAGCAGGAACGGAGATAAACGACCTTCATTTGGAGCCACGACTTTGCCACTGCCTCTCTCCCCAGGCAAGTCGTTGCCTCTTTCTGAGCTGTTTAAAAGAAACAAAATTAACACCGGCCTGACAGTGGTGGGGGAACAAATAAGATAATGGTTGTGAAGGCGCTGCTGGCTTTCCTAATCCGTGCGTTAGGGTGGTAATTGCTTTATCCATGTGGCCAATTCAGATTGCATCCAGCAGCCCCTCTACACTGCCTAGAGGAGAAATTCTCCATGCGTCCGCCCAACACCGAATAGTGTGCGTTCTTTGCTCTGCGGAGTCGCGGGTTTTCTGTATTTGCTTTGACCTTTATGAGGGCCCAAAAATTCTTTTGATCATCATTTGAAAGATTGTAAGGTCGAAAGGGACGTACTTCATGGGACTTTGTAAGGATCAAATTAAATAATGGATTAGAATTATTTGCTTAACTTCTGACCTCCCCCGTAGGAAGGGGCAGCTTTATCTTCCTTCCTAGTTCTTATCATTAGCTGACATTATGCATTTATTGGTCTTTCTCACAAGAATGTAAGATCCATGAGGGACTCCCCCCACCCCCCAAAACACCTGATGAAGAGAGCTAATTATACTCAGCAGTCTTGCGGGGCACAAGTTCATCATTCATGGCACAACATTAATCATTGGGCCACGCAATGGTCGCTCTGTTGTTTTAACCATCCTCCCAGCATTCTCTTGTATTCTTCATCCCTAACGGCACCTAATGTTATTCACAAATGTATCGCCAACAGATGTATCCCCAACACAGCATGTGCTTAATAAATAGCCGTTGGATGTAGTAATGAATGAAGAAGTAATAATGCTGGGTGAGGGTTAGGGCCACATTTATTGTGGTGTTTGGCTGGAGTAGAGCAGTTATTGTCTAAGGTTTTCTGTTTTGCTAGGCTGCCCTTTCCTTGGACCCTTCGCGAGAGAGAGCAGGTATTTGTTGGAGCTTTTTTCTTTCTGCACCCATTAGCATCCTTGGTTGCCCTCTCCTTTAGCTCAATGTCTGAGATAGATGAACAAAAAGAAAACCCGTGGAACTCACCACCATGTCATTCCTTGGTCATGTGGTCCAGAGCAGGTCTGTCTTCTCCTCCTCTTTCAGAATCATCTTGGGTTTGTTTTCTATCTAGTTCCCAGGGATGTTTGTTGTACTTAACAGGAAGAAGAAGGAAAAGTACTTCAAATCCATCTTTCCAGAAATGAAAGTGCCCTATTCACCTTTAAATCTGGAGTCTCAAGGGTGTTACACCATTACATCATATAGAGACAATACTGTGTTCCAAATCTTGGACTCTTTTCATTGACTGTTTATTTTCTTTTCCATCTATGAATTAATTTCTAGGCCTCCTCGAAAGATGTTGTCAGACAGCTATGCCAAGAGAGCTTTTCCAGTTCAGCCCTTTGCTCGAAAAAACTCTTGGATATCACGTGTTCCAGCTTGTCTGTGACCCAAGAGGAGGCAGAACAAGTAAGTGTGGTCAGAAATGACCTTTGGCCACGGGGCTTCTAACTCCTTAGTCTTTTCCTTGACCTTCCAGTCATTTCTGTGTCCAAGGAAATTTTTTCCCCTTAAATGTCTATTGATATTAAAACAAAATAGATTTTTTTTTTTAACGTCAGTGACCTTAAAAACCTTTGTTTGGAATCTTTATTTCCTTGTTGTAAATGAAGCATGGATGGGAGAACTTACCCAGCATCAGAGCTCCCGATCATTTCCTTTTCAGTCTTGTTACCTAGAAGTGTGGCCAAGAGCCAGCCTTTTCATGATTTTCTTTCCCAACCTGTCACTCGCTGATGCTCATTAATTGCTGGTCTGATAGCCCAGGCAAGCTTCTCAGGGATCATTGGGCAGAAGCTCCCAGGCCTGAGTGATCTCAGGGAGGCCGTGCGGCTGGACCTCACCTGATCTCAGCAGATGGCCAAGAGGAAGAGTAAAGGGACTCACGTTACATAGCGCCCTAACCCAGGAGTTCATCCAAACTGGCCTGTGTTGTTGTTGTTATTACTATTTTTGACTCTGGAGCTTTGTTTATTGAAGTTAGCTGCAAAAGAGTAAAAGGCAGAAGTAAGATTATCAAATTGAGTTGGAAAGTTCCTTTGGGTTCCCCAAATGTAGACCCTGAGGCAAAGATTTGGGTGCAGGTAGTCATTTGGGAGGTGATTCTGGACACCACAGAGAAAGTGGGGAAAATCAAACAGGGAAGAGAGACAGACCTATAAAAGGGTGCATGTTAATGAGCGGTTTCTTCTCTGGGCACCTGGGTCCCAATCTTCGGAGCCTGTTAGAAACCACGTGAAACATCCCCCAGAACTGTGCTCTGGAGGGCAGAGATTAGGGCATTTCTTCACCAGGTCCCACTCCTCCTCAGTGAAGGGTTAACGTCCCCTCACCTCTGGTTGTGCCTGTCTGTAGCCGAGCAACCTCCCAAAGCATCAGAGAATGCTCCAAAGCAGAAGTTACCTTCGGAGAGTCTTCCGAGGTTCCACTAAGCATTGTTCTGTCCTCTCAACGACCGTAGCCACACCGGCTACGGACTCACTTGGAAGGTCATAGGGTGGAGCACAGCCTCCTGGCTCTCGTTCCACAGGGCAGAACACACAGCCAGCCTGGAGCTGCTGGTTCTGTTTGTCCTCCCAGGTTGACAGTCTAGGGGCAAGGTCACGACGCTCCTACCACTCTGGATTCAACGCCCAAACCCCACAGGAGCCAATACCACTGGTAACAGTCTAGTAACCACAGCCTGGGGTTCTGGCCTGGCGCACGCAGTCACACTCTGGGAAGCTCCGCGTACAAACGGATTGCTAGAATTCTGCAGCACCCTGAAAATATATATATATATTTTTTGCCCATCTGATTAAAAAAAAAAATAGATATACTTTTGATTGATTCACAATGAATGGCTGTTTTGTGCTGACTGTTGTCATTCCTTTTCTTTCACAATCTAAGGGAAAAGAGGTTGGTGCCCTTGACTAAATAGTTACTGCGTGTTTTAAAGAGTGTGGGGGCGCACCGGTTGAAAATCCCTGGGCTATGAAGTTAACTAAAGGTCAGACTCTATGTAGTAGGAAAGGGTACTTAGTAACTCTTTGCTGGAAAGCAAAGTTTCTGGCAAGTTGATAGCTTCCTATGTCTAAAGGTGGGGGTGGGGGGGGCAGGGTTAAACTTCAGGACAGGCTGAGGCATGCGGGCATCGGCCAGCATCTGCAACAGAGGCCTCAGGACCCCAGAGGCTGTGCTGAGTGGCTGTAGTAGCAGTGTGTGGCAGGCGGGCATAGAGCCCTGCCCCTGTCCCCTGTCCCCTGCCCGCTTTCTCTTACTGCCCAGGGCTCCCATCTCTCCTGCAGCTGCTCCAGGCTCTGCACCGCCTCACCAGGCTGGCGGCGTTCCGTGACCTGGCCTCCGCCGAGGCAATTCTGGCTCTCTTTCCTGAAAATTTCCACCAGAACCTCAAAAACCTGCTGACAAAAATCATCCTGGAACACGTGTAAGTGCTCATTTCTTGAGAGTTCCATGTAAGGCCTATATTGTTTTATTCCTCTTCTAGAAAGAGTAGGTTCGTTCTTTGTTTTTTTTAAAAAAAAATATATATGTATATATTTTTTATTTTTAGAGAGCAAGGAAAGGAGGGAGAAAGAAAGGGAGAGAAACATGAATTAGTTGCCTCTCACATGTGCCCCAACCGGGGACCAAACCTGCAACCCATGTCATGGTGCCCTGACTAGGAATTGAACTGGTGACCTTTCACTTCACAGGACAACGCCCAACCAACTGAGCCACACTGGTCAGGGCAATAGGTTCATTCTTGAAAAGCAAACACAAGAAAGCAAAAAGAAAATCCTAATTCTATGGCCCAGAGGGTTAGCCTTTCAAGACCTGTTTGCTTTTTTAATTAGAGAGAGGTTAGCGGTTTTGTTTTTAACACGGTGGGACAATGCCATTTTATAACTTGCTTGTTTGAAGTTCACAGTGTTAATGGTGCTTCAGGTCAATAAATACTCACCTTCAATAACATTTTTAATGGTTAAATGTATCCATTATATGAAGAAATTATGTGTAATATAATTAAGAAATTCCCAAGTATTAGACATTTATGCTATTGGCCATTTTCACTTCTGTGAACACTTCATCATAGAACTTTGTTCTCCTGCTTCATTATTTTATTGCTGGGTTAAAGGCAGTGGACGCATTGAGGCTTTGGCTTTATGCTGTCGCGCTGGCCGTCGGAAGGGTTGCCCGACTGTTGTTACACCAGTAAGACACGAGTGGGCCTTGCTCGAACCTGTCACCAGTGCTAAGGGACCTTTTTTTTTTTAACATTTTTTCCATTTCACACATGGCAAATGGTACCTCACGTCGATTTGTATATCTTTGCTACTAGTCATGTCCAATATCTTTCGTATGTTTTTTGATCAATATTTATTTTTTTGTGGATTATCTGTATATTTTTGTGGCTGGGCAAAACCTTTTAAAACACATACAGTTTAATCAGATTTGATGAACTACTGGCTAGCAGCAGGTTTGAACAGACCTCTCTGATAATAGTAACAGAAAATGCCTATTGTTGAAGGATTTTGTTGTTTATAAAGGAGCTTCCTGATATGTGATCACATCGTATTCTGACTCTGCTTGGCATCTCACTGTGCTACTGTTTGCTGTAGCATTAGACAGGCCTGTGTGGGTGTGTTTGGCATACAATGTACTGCATTGGCCCTGACCTGTGTGGCTCAGTTGGTTGGGCGTTGTGTCTGGCAAAGCAAGGGATTGCCGGTAGTTCGATTCCTGATCAGGGCACATGCCTGGGTTGCGGGCTCCGACCTGGCTGGGGTGCGTAAGAGAGACAACCGATTGATGTTTCTCTCTCACATTGATGTTTCTCTCCCTCTTTTTCTCCTTTCCTTCTCCACTCTCTAAAAATAAATAAAGTTTAAAAAATAAGATGCAGTGCCTTGTGTAGTAGATGCACAATAAAAAGGGAACAGGTTGCCCTTTTCTCTGTTTTGTGTCTGAGAATGATGGCACGATAAGGTTACAATGCATTAAGCCTTTTCCTTTTTTTTTTTTTAAGTTGTGAAAACTAGTAGCACTTGTGCCCTTAAGGTCACTAAGCTTTAACAAAGCAAACAGCAAAGAACTGCTCCTTGGAATGAGGTTATTTCTGTGGTCCTTTCCTGTCAGAGGTGATTACAGGCCTGAAGGTTACAAAGTGGGAGAGCAGAGGCCCAGGTCCAGGGGCCCCTCTTGTCGTCCGAAGACGCTGTCTTCACCCCCTTGCCATCATTCTTACCTGCTCTTTCTCTCTGAAACAGATCTACTTGGAGAACTGAAGCCCAAGCAAATCTGAGTGAGTATCAAGAAGTCTGCCTTGTCCTCCTCGCTCCTCTCCCCAGCCCCAGCCCTGAATCTGCCAGGTGGCCAGAGTTTTTAACCGAAAATCAGAGTGAGGTAACCTAATCCCAACTGAACAGGGCGTGTTGTTTTCCTTTTCGATTCTGCTTTTTAAATTTTTTTTATTATAAACTTAATATAGGCATGTTGTTAAACAAAACAAAACATAAATATCCAAGACATTAAGTGAAATACTTCAAATAATGACATTTCCATTAGGAAAAAACCATAATTAAAATCAGTTTGAAAGACTGAATGAAAGTGTATGTTTAATAAATGATCACGAAACTTACTTGGAGCCAGTCACCATGCTGAAGAATTCTACCTGCATTAAGTCATTTACTCTCCCCAACAACCCTGGGAACTAGGCTAAGATTATCCCTGTTTTACAGATGAGGAACCAGAGGCTCAGAGGTCAGGCAGGCAGAAGAGCCCATCTTCAAGCCAAGTCTGTTTGTCAAGCAAAAGCTCTGTCCACTACTGTGAAAGCCACACTTTCCCTAAGACCCAGGCCACAACCTCATCTTCTCTACCTGTGTCACTTCTCCTTCTGCCCTGGCATCTGGAGGGTTGGGTGTCCAGGCAGAGGCTTGGAGACACTGCCACCGTGAATTGGTGCTAAGTGCGGGTGGCACGGAGCAGTGGACCCCGCCTGTCTGCCCCCCTCAGGGACTTGCAGTGCAGCTGAGACGCGTTACACGCGGACAGCCCTCAGAGCTGCTGGTCACAGAGCGAAGGCTCAGTAAACACTGGCAGTGTGAGCTCTGAGCTGGCCTGTCCCCCACCCCCAACAGTCTCTCTGCCACGCCTGGTTGACCTGGACTGGAGAGTCGACATTAAAACCGCCTCCGACACCATCAGCCGCATGGCCGTCCCCACCTGCCTGCTCCAGATGAAGGTACGTCTGTTGTCATCCTCACCAGGAGGAAAGAAGGGGTGGCACTGACTCGGCGCTCCTGTGGGCCATCGAAAATACCGGTCTCCAGAGCTTGGGGATCTTTAACTCCATAAATAAAAAAACTTGAACTCCCCCCAAATACAATATTTAAAAAGTACATGTGTACTACTGTATTAACGTAGACATGATAAAGCATACACTGAGAGTGGAAATTTTAAAATAAGACAAGCACAAAACATAAATTTTAAAAATTATTTGCCAATACCTACAGGTTACCTTATACCCTTAGGGGAAAGTTTAGTATTAAGAATAAGAGCTCAGATATCAAATGGCCTTCTGGATGGTTTGGTACACTTCAGCCGCCTTCTCATGCAGTGTGATAAGGTTGTCACTACGTGGAACGTGGCTGATCCAGAGTTCCTGTTAGCAGTTGGAGATGTGTCACTTCTTCATTTTCTTGTCCCCATGCTCTTGCCTCTTTGGTGTTATCTTCACTTTACAGTTCTTTTTTTTTTTTAATAAGATTTTATTTATTTTTAGGGAGAGGGGAAGGGAGTAAGAAAAAGGAGAGAAACATTGATGTGAAAGAGAAACATCAATCAGTTGCCTGTCATAATCTGCCCCAGCCAGGGACCGAACCCATAACCCAGGCATGTGCCCTGACTGGGAATCGAACCAGTGACCTTTCACTTTGTGGGACAACACCCAACCACCTGAGCCACACCGGCCAGGGAATCACTTGAGAGCTCTCTTCAGGAATCTTTTTAAGCCATGTTTCCATTTTAAGGGTTTGTTTAGTTAAAACCACATAACAGGAGGCTGTTTTTACTTAGCCACTCAGAAACCCAACACTTACAAGATGATGAAAATGTAAAGGTTCCTGTAACAACTCAGTTATTACATATTAGTAAAACTTACTTTTTTAAAAAGATAGAAGTTATAATACAGGGGTGGGCAAAAGCAGGTTTACAGTGGTTCGTATGGTTATGATTATTACAGATCTTTATTAGGTAGACTGAGAAGTGCTCAAATTGCCGCCCTCCGTTATGTACACATTCTTACAGTCTACTTGCTGTGCTCAAGCACAGTTTGGCACAGAGTTCTTTATAATCCTACTTTTGCCCATCCCTATATTTGTCCTGCATCCCACTGGATCCTTCTGTACCCCTAGTGCCCATTGTATAAACTGCCAGTATGAACATGTGATGTTTTCTCACTTGACTGCTGGCCAAGGCGGGAGTGAGCCTTGGCTTCCCTGACACCTGCCCTGAGCACTCGTTGCAAATGGAAGCTGACCCCCAGCCTCGGCGGCGGCGTCTTCCTTCTCTGGTTGCCAAGTGACTCCTGGGCTTGGACTGTCTGTAGCTCTGAGCAGAGAGGCCCTCTTCAGAGGTTCCCCTGAACAGGGCGGGGCTCACGGGTCCAGGGATCACCCACAGGGCGTTTGGGAGTGAGGTGGTTTTGACTTTGAGACCATATTCTCTTTTCAGATCCAAGAAGATCCCAGTCTGTGCGGGGACAAACCCTTTGTCTCAGCTGTCACCGTGGAGCTGAGTAAGGAAACACTGGACACTATGCTGGACGGGCTGGGCCGCATCCGAGACCAGCTTTCTGCCATAGCCAACAAATGACCCCGGCCAGCTGCCAGCCCCAGCTGCTGTCAGCAGTGGAGCGCCTCGCGACACCGGGTGGGCTGCCCCGCTGCAGCAGCTGCAGCCAACAACAGGCGGGATGGTAGGGACGAGAGGGGCTGCCGACCAGAAGGCACAGAAGGCGCAGCTGCACTGGGAAGCAGCAGCCACGCCCCCACGCTGTTCTCACTCATCTTCTCTGTCCTCTTTCTGGGGCTGGTGAGCAGAAGCCTCATCTTCGAAAGGCTCCTACATCTTTGAAAGGCTCATACATGTGACTTAATTACCACAGTGGCAGACGAGGGAACCTTTGCTTCCTCCGCTGCCTTGGCTTGGCCGCTTGGAGAGCCTGCCCAATGAGTTCCTTACCAGCATTGGCGCAGATTGGTTCACTCCCAGCCCTGGAGCACGTGGAGGGAATCAGGTGGGCAACACCGGTGGCTCCCACTTCTGTCAGAGAAACTGGGCAGACCCCACAGAGCAGGGTCACTGCAGTGTGGCCCACCTGCCCTACGTCCAGAGCCTCTGCAGCTCCCTTGGCCCTGCTGGGCTGCCTCTTGGCACAGGAAGTCTGAAAGGGGGGCCATTTCCCTTCTGCATGAAGCCGGGGCCCCCTTCACAAATGCAGCCACCCCAGGGTGGAGGAGGGGGGGAGGCTGAGAATAAACAGTTGTGAAAACTTCATGATGCTGTTCACATTCCTTGTAGCTTCTGCCCTTAGCCTGAGTCTCTTGCCTTAGGCTGGTGCTGCCTGTCCTTCATAAGGGTGACCCCAACTTCCTAATTCCCAGCTAAGCTCGTGACCACAGTGTGACCTGAAACCAGGCACACAGCCCTCACCGCCTCCCTGCATCTCAGGTAGAGCAAAAGCAAGGTTGACAGCATGTGCTTGTCGGAAGAGCTATGGCATGAAAGCACTCTTTCCAGTCTAACCAAACAAGATCGTCTGTCACATGCCTGACGTGTCATAGGAACTCAGCGTGTAAGGCTCCCCTGCCCCAACCCAGATGGCTCCAGTAGCTGTAGCTTGCTCTCTGAGTGGCCTTGGGTGGTGGGGGTGGGAAGAGATGGGCGGGGGAGAAGCCTGGGTTAAGGGGATGGATTTGAGTCAGGCAGCCAGGGGCGGAAGCCAGCTCCACCGCTTCATGGGGCGGTGGGGGGTGGGGGGCGGGCGGTGAGGGCTTGACCTCTAAGCCTCAATTCTCCCTCCTCCCCAACTTTTAAATTAAATGACTTAACGTACCTAAAAGCACTTAATACTGTTACGACAAATACGAAGGGCTTGATGATGTTAGCCTTCATTATTAATGGGAAGGAAAGTAGAAAGCACTCTGCTTTCATTGGTTCATCTACTGTAATGGGGCTGGTATAACGGTGTTATCCTCCCACAGCTGATGAGGACGTCAGCTCTTTGAGGTTAAGTCACCTGCTGGTAAATGGCCTCATTAGGACTTGGGCCCAGATATTTCTAGCTTTCTCTGCCACACAGGGCTCTGCAAGGGATGTGGAGTTCTCTGACTTAAGCTCCATTTGGAAAATACAAGAACTGAGGTAGAGATGAGAAATCGGCCCACCTGGTGAGACACCAGGAAGGTCAAGGAAAAAAATGCCAGACTCCGCTTTGTCCTCTAGCACCTGGAAGCTGAGCTACCTTCTGTTAAAATGTCAGTGTTTAACCCTTTGGGGGCCCCACCCATGAGTCTTTGATGAGGGCTGTGGATCCTTTCTGTAGGAGATGAATGAACATTATGTTTTTTACGTTCGATGACGAGTTCATGGACCATGGAAGGCAGCTCGCTATTTCAGGTTGAGAGCCTTGTCTTCGTTCCTCTCTGTTGTTCTTCAGAGGGGGTCTCTGACCCACAGAGATCTTCAAATCTCATCCTATGGGCCTCTTTAAAAGAAGCTTGAAGCAGGGAGCCCAACGTGGGTGCTGGGGAGCTGGGCATTCCTGTACGCAGATCCACCTAAACAGACCAGCAGGGAGCATGATGTGGAGAAGGTGTTCAATAGCTAGAAAATTCAATAAACGATTGCTCCCCTTTTTCTCATGTGCTCATTTAAGGTGCTTGTTTACCACTGTCAGGGAAGATGGATTTTGGGCACAGTATTACTGGCTGGCCTGACCCTACTTCTACCTATTGATTTCAAAGGGAGTTCTCTCATTCAGTACTTGCCTGGTTTCCTAGTAGTACTGTCTGTGTGCTATCCTTTATGCAGCAGCACGGTTTGGGTGTCCAGACGCCACCCACAGAAGGGCAATGATAAACCTCAGTGGCAACTGTGTCCCTGGCTGCCCAGGGCTTTTTTCCACAGGCTTGACCGTGGGACTGAGCATTTGGTTCTGTGTGGATCAGTACGCGTGCCCCATGGAGATTGTCCCATGATTGTACATGACTCAACTTGGGCCAATCTGAGTCTTCCCCTACAACTTTTTTCTACTGTAATCAGCAGCGAAGACCACTACCTGCCTTGGCTCTGATAGTGAGGCCGGGATGCTTGGGACCATCTTCCCACTCAGAGAAAGTGCACCTGCTGGAGAGGCTAGCCGAGAGAAAAGCAGAGCTTGGAGGTTGTGAAGTGGGGGGAACCCAGTGTGCCTGATACCAACCTCCATCTCTCTCCCAGTGTTCCCATCAGGATGGAAAACGTGCCCAGGATTCGCTTCAATCAGGGATGGAAAGACACACACACAAATAATTGTCACGAAGGAAGATGTTTATACTGTTGGATCCCTAGACACAGGAGGCATGGGCAGGCACAAAGGGCCACGTAGGGAAGGGCTGGGGTTGGTTGGGGGCAGCAGGGCTTTATTGGGGTGTTCTCAGGAAGGAATGGGTGAAGAAGGGTAGGTGCACTAAGCCTAGGATTGGCTACTTTAGATAATGTTGTCAGGCCCTGGGCTACAGGAATGGTCCCTAGTTGTGCAGTATGTGGTCCTGGGTGATTCAGGGCCAGGGTAGCATTTGCTTGGTAATCGATAAAAGTCATATCTAGAATCAAGATGGTGGAGGAGTGAGTGGAAGTCACACTGACCTCCCAGGACCAACCTGGAATTACAACTAAATTGTGGAGAAATCACCTGGAACAAACAACTGAACAAAAGCGAGAGAGGAACCTTGTAACCTTGGAGACAGAAGAATCGGCTTTAGCGCAATCTGACTGGTAAGGAATGTGGTAGAGACTCAAGAAGGCAGGCGGGGCGCCCACGGGCGGCAGCACCAGAAGGATATTGAAATGGCCAGTCGGATCCCCCTGAGAAGAGTGGGGTCTAAACCAAAAGCAGGGATCTCTAGCCTATGGCACCAGAGCCCAAAAACTACACAGAAAACAGCCAGCTGCAAAAAGCGGCAAGGTTGCTCTCTGCCAGAGACAGGCAGCTGGAGACGCAAAGAACCATTTAAAGGGCCAACACATAAATTTTTGTTTGAAGCCACTTACCCTGGTCTCCGGCAAAGGTGGGGACAGAGTCGGCTAGAGACACCTGAGGAGAGACTGGGGAAGGAGGCTTTGGGGTGAGAACAGAGAGAGTGGCCAGCGGGGTCCCAGTGCTGATGCCTTCCCCATGGGGCAGCAGCCATCTTGCTCAGGCAGAGACCACTCCCCTTGAGTGGCAGCAGCATCAGAGGACCCCAAAGCCCCGCCCCCAGATGGGATTCCACCCCTCCCTGTGCTGTCTAAGCTGCCTGCTGAGTGCAGAGTGGCAGCCACAGACAATTGATCCTTGGCTAAAGGGGGTGCAGAGAGTTCTGGAGACACTTGAGGAGAGACTGGAGAGGGAGGCTTTGGGGAGAGAAAGGAGAGAGTAGCTGGCGGGATCCCAGTGCAGACTCCCCCCCGCCCCCCCGCTATACGGCAGTAGCATGAGAGGAACCAATAACCCCACCGCCAGGGGGTACTCCTCCCCACCCTGAGCTATTTAAGGGTGATCTACTGAGTTCAGAGAGACTAGATTAACAGTTGAAGGAGACAGCCACAGACAGTAGATTCTTAGAAGCCTCAAACAGACTGCCTAAGGTCAGACGGGGTCAGCACCTGACATCGTCAGAGGTAGATCCAGAAAGTAAAAACAGTGGTCTCCAACCATAGAAATTCACACCACAAAGTGAGGAAATCAAGAGAGATCAATTTAAGAAGCAGAAGCAAAAAAGAAGAGTCCTGCAAATAATGGGAAGACAAAGAAATACCCCTCATTTGAAGGGAAAGGAGGAATCCCCTGAAAGAGAACTAAATGAAATAGAGGCAAGTAAACTATCAAATATTGAGTTCAAAACAACGGTTCTAAGGAAGCTTAATGAGCTCATTGAGCTCAGAGAGAATTACAAAAAACTACAAGGAAATTATGAGGAACTTACTGCAAACTATATCAGCATGAAAAAGAACATAGAAACTATCAATAAGAGACAAGAGGAAATGAAGAATACCATTTCTGAATTGAAGAACACAGTAGAAGGAATCAAAAGCAGGCTAGATGAAGCTGAGAATCGAATCAGCGAGCTGGAGGACAAGGTAGAAAAAAAAGCTCCCAGAAAGAGCAAGAAAAAGAAAAAAGACTCAAAAAGAATGAAGAGGCATTTAGGGAAATGCAGGACAAGCTGAAATGTAATAATATCCATATAATAGGGATACCAGAAGGAAAAGAGGATGAGGAAGGAATAGAGAACCAGTTTGAAAAAGTAATGATGGAAAACTTCCCTCATTGGAGGAGAGAAAAAGTCACAAGTCCAGGAAGCGCAGAGGGTCCCATTCAAGAGGAACCCAATGAGGCCCACTCCAATACACGTCATCATTAAAATGGCAAATATCAAAGACAAACAGAGAATCCTAAAGGAAGCAAGGGAGAAAGAGGTAGTAACATGTAAGGGAGTCACGGTATGGCTAGCAGCTGACTTCTCAACAGAAACACTGCAAGCCAGAGGGGAATGGCAAGAAATATTCCAAGTCAGGAAAAGCAAAGGCCTGCAACCAAGACTGCTTTACCCAGCAAGGCTCTCAATTAAAATGGAAGGTGAAATAAGAAGTTTCCCAGACAAAAGAAGGCTAAAAGAATACACCTCCACCAAACCAGCATTGCAAGATATGCTAAAGGGACTGCTTTAAGAAGATGAAGAAAAAAAAGTCTATGAATACCCAGTTCCTTTCATGGTCGCCAATACTTGATATTACCAATATTTTTTAATACTTATTAATCTTATTGTGACAATGATGTGTTATTTTATTTGTTCCTTTATTAGTTGTTGAAACTAAACCTGCTTTTGTATATTTCTTGCCTATTTCTATTATTTTAAAAAAGTTTTAAATAACTTTTTGGTATTCTTTATCCCTGTTTTGATTAAATGTTTGTAGAATTTTTTCCCTAAAAGAACCCCAAAACAAACCATTAACCCTTTTTTAGATGTGTTGCAAATACTTTCCTATTCTATTACTTGTCCTTTAACTTTTTTATATGTATATTACTGTACAGTCTTAAATGTTTAATATAGTCATATTGTCAATATTTTACTTTATAGCTTCTGGGTTTGAATATGTTACTTCAGGGTAAGAAAAATATTATTTTGTATTTCCTCCTAAAACTCCTTAGATTCTACATATTGATTTTTAACTCACCTGAATATTTCTTGTATACTGTGTGAAATAGGGCTCTATATTTGTTTTATTTCAAGCAAT